GGATTCCGCACTCACTAAAAGCCACTCATGGAAGACACTTGGGTGATAGGCTAAGAGCAAAGCTATGACTGTGATTTTTTTCTATATTTTATACAAGGGAAGGGGAGGCAAGTGTAGTGGCTCATGCCTGTAACTCCATGGATAGAGGCAATGGAGGATCAAGAATTCAAGACCATCCTTGCCTCCGTGGCAAGTTTGAGACCAGCCTGAGCTGTCTGAGACAGTCTCAGGGAGATGGCTTAATTGGTAAAGTACCTGCCACACAGGTGTAAGGACCTGAGTTCTGATCCCTAGTGCACACTGAAAGCCAGGCACAGTGCTGCATATCTGTAACACTGGTGATGGGGAAGGGATTTGGACAGACACATGGACATGTGCTGGTCAGCTAGTCTAGGTGGCTGGTGAGCTTCAAGTTCAATGACAGACTCGGTCTCAGTCATTTTTTTTTTCCTTGTCCTGGAACTCTACAGACCAGGCTGACCTCAAATTCACAAAGATCAACCCTCCTCTGGGATTAAAAGTCTGTGCCACCACCACCCAGTGAGGCTCTGTTCTTAAAACAAACAAACAAAACCAAAACCAAACAACCATAGTGAATAAGAGGAAGTTATCCAGTGTTGACCTCTGGCCTAGAAGGACACCTCCACTCAAGTGTACATACACACATACAAACACATATGCACTGTATGTATACACACACACACATACACACACACACAAATACATAAAAAGCCAGGGAGCAGGGACAGCAGTGTCTGCTGCTGCAAGTAACTTTTTGGAAATAAATTGGGGTACTCATAGGCTATCTGGGCTCCTGCTCTTTCTTCTTCCCAGGTGGCTGTGAGCAGACAGTGGTTGAAGAATTTTGTAAACCGTAGCATGGGGGATGAGGGGAGACCTAGTTGTTGCTATGGCAACCATGAGACATTTTGCTATGTTTTCAACAGATCTCCCGTCTCAACCAGGAAGTGTCTCAGCTGAGCCGGGAGCTGCGACAAGTGATGAGCCTCTTACAGGCTAGGCTGGGTCCCCCAAGCCACTCAGCTGACTCAGCTTGGCTCCCAGACCTTCCTTGTCCCCACCAGAGACCACCATGCATCGCTCCTCATATGTCTGGACCACCACCTGGTCTCCAGAATACTACACTCGCTGTAGTTCACTGTCCAGCCAGTGTTGGGACAGTGGAGATAGGGGCCACCCCCTCAGAGCTGAGACCTTCCATGATGCCACCCTATCCCTCAGAACCTGATCCTCTCGGACCCTCTCCAGTGCCAGAGGCTTCTCCTCTGACCCCAAGCCTCCTAAAGCACAGCTTTAAGTCTGGGTCAGACACATTCCACTGACCCTGGCCTTGGGCCCAGGCCTGTCTGGGGTAGGCTTCACCACCTGCCATCCAGGGAGGAGCTGGGCTCCTTGGCCTCTTGCCTTAGGGTCAGCAGCTGCCAGCTGGTCTGGTTGGCTCTGGATTCTCTGGACTTTTTTATCAACGAGTGGCCACATCTAACCCTGTTCCATTTTCTAAACCATCCCCTATCCTCCTCTTCTGGGAGGGGAGTCACCTGAAGCCATGGAATTCAGCAGGCATGAAATGGACCATGGCGCCCTGTTGGGCTACACAGAGGAGATCTCTTACTTTCTCCCCAAGACTTGGAGGTAGGTATAGACTGGGAACAGAAGAATGGTCAAGAGCAAGGATCTAACCTAGTAAATGAAGACTGAGGTTAGACCAGGCAGGGTCTAGAGTAAGAGGGCTAGATGGGATTACAGTATTATGAAGCTCTTCCGTCCCAGATTCTGGGCCCTTTGCAGAAGACCCTGAGAACTGTCATCTCGAGAGGAGTGAGTTTGAGATTTTTAGCTGTCATTTGAGAATCCCAGGATATCTTAGACCTTTCTACTAGCCGCCAAACTGGAGGAGTCCACTTCACCCCCATGGCACACACACAAAAACAAACTGATGGCTCCAGATGTGTCTTTGGCTCTCAGAACATTTTTTTTCTTCTTCAAATTATAATTTAGTTACCAACATCAAACTCCAGATAGAGCCACAAAATAGTCAGCATTCTAACTTCTTAAGAAAAACAACAACAAAAAAGACAACAGCCGGGCAGTGGTGGTGCACGCCTTTAATCCCAGCGCTTGGGAGGCAGAGGCAGGTGGATTTCTGAGTTTGAGGCCAGCCTGGTCTACAGAGTGAGTTCCAGGACAGCCAGGGCTACACAGAGAAACCCTGTCTCGAAAAACCAAAAAAAAAAAAAAAAAAAAAAACAAAATCTGGCTACCAAGAGCCAGCATTCATCTGCAAAATCAGTAATCCCTAGTCTTGGGTGGCTGAAGAAACAGGTCCCATTTCTTCTGTCTCGTGCTTGTTGATCATTTCTTGATGCCCAATTGGCTTGCCTTATTTGTTTGGTCTCTGTGTTTTTTTCAGTTTGCAATCCCCATCTTAGAGTGGGCTCCATGGGAGTCCTGCTAATGTCTGTTCATTTCATACTCTTGACTCGGGCCTGTCAACGTATTTCTATTTCTCTACAGGCTGTCATGCAAGGTGGTCCCTTCTGCTGCCAGCAGCTCAAAGCATTCTAGCATTACCCTTCTGCAGATCCCACCTCCAAACATCAGCCAAATCTGCCCCACCTCCCCCCAACATGGTCTCCACCTCGATGAGGGTCTGGGGAACTTACAAACCCTCTCTGGTTTCCAGCCCTCCTTTCTCACTCAATACCCCAGGCTCACTTTTGGATAGAAAATAAATCCATATATTTTTGTAGACCTTGACTCTGGCTGTTTCTGGGGGTTAGTCTGAGAGCCCCAGGGCTTTGAAAGAGCTAACGCAAGCAGACACACCCCACTGTACCCCAGGGCCCTGTTGCTGTCTCTAGGAAGGGCGAAGGCGCCAGCTAATCCACTTGGCACCATATTCACACCACCAGGGACTCCTCGGATAAGGGAGGAACCTTAATGAGTCGCTAAGGGCATTCCTTCCTCCCCGCCACCCAGTTACAACCACAAACACACAGCATGTGGGAGAGACGTCTGATCAGGCTCATCTCTCTAGTCTTAGAAAGAAATCCCAGGACTTTTCTTGCCCTCCTGAATAAGGAACTCTTCTTTCCAGGATAGGTATTTGATATTAAGCTAGGTAGTGTGTTATCGTGGGCAGGTCGGTGGAAGAGCTTGTCACCAGTGAAGAACCTGCTAAGAATCCACTCTCCCAAGCTCCGTCGCCTCTCAGCTTACATTTCTGTGAAGGTCTGTGCACGTCATAGGGTACATATGCTGTAGGAGACTGGCACCTTGGTGATGAAATTAGATGTGGCACAGCTTTGTGGCAGGTTATCCCAGACAGGTTCATTCTTCAGCTCAAGCCTTCAGGCTATGACTGATGCTGTCCCATGCCCTAGGCACTACATGGTCTCTGGGATGGGCTTTGATTTTATAAAGGTTTTGAGTGGTATCCTTGGGAAAGCAGAAAGAGGCCAGTGTTGGAGGTTGGGGTTAAGCAGAAGTGGTCTTAATTCATACAGAAGGAATTAGAAGAAAAAGAAATAGACCTGACCTGTGGTAGAAGGGGGAGTGGTTTTCATCTCTTAGTGATGGGTAGAGAGAACGCAGTCAGTCTTTGAAGGAGAGCTAATCTTGATTGGGTGGGGGTGAGGGTAGTGGCCCTGGTATATTTGGGAACAGAGCCTAAGAACAAAACAGTCCATTGTGGTGGTTGCACTCATGTTTAATTCTAGCACTCCAGAAGTAGAGGCAGGAGGATCTCTGTGAATTCAAACACAACCCATCTACAAAGCAGGTTCCAGGCCAATCAGAACTACATAGTGGAAGAAAGGAAGAAAGAGTGAAGTGAGAGCTAGCCTGTGGCAGCAGCAGGTCTCCTTTTCATCCATCTAGTATCCTCCAGAGGACTCCTCCTTTTTGTTTGCTTGTTTTTGTTGTTGTTGTTTTTCCAGACAGAGTTTCTCTGTATAGCCCGGGCTGTCCTGGAACTCACTCTGTAGAGCAGGCTGGCTTCGAACTCAGAAATCCGCCTGCCTCTGCTTTCCAAGTGCTGGGATTAAAGGCGTGCGCCACCACCGCCCAGCAAGACTCCTCCTTTTTTTTTTTTTTTTTTTTTTTGGTTTTTCGAGACCGGGTTTCTCTGTGTAGCCCTGGCTGTCCTGGAACTCACTCTGTAGACCAGGCTGGCCTCGAACTCAGAAATCCGCCTGCCTCTGCCTCCCAAGTACTAGGATTAAAGGCGTGCGCCACTATCTCCCGGCAAGACTCCTCCTTTTTAAAAATTACATTTCTTCACGTATTTAGGGGGAGGGTGGATGAGTTCTTAAATGTCATGGCACACAGGTGGATGTCAAAAGACACCTTGTGGGTCCTGGGGATGGCACTCAGTCAGGTTTGGCCGCAAGCATCTTTACCCGTCGAGCCATTTCGCTAGCCTCCAGAAAGCCCATTCTACAGAGCTTTCATCACCATTTTGTTTTGTTTTGTTTTTAAAGCCAGGATCTTACTACATAACCCTAGCTGTTACTCACAGAGATCTGCCAGCCTCTGCCTTCGGAGCGAGCCATCACACCTGGCTCCACCGCCTTTCCTATAACAGAACGTCCTCAACAACCAGCCTCCTGGACGGGCTTGGCTTCTCTAAGTTGCCGAGGGCACACGACTGGTCTACGCGGCTGCATGAGCATCATATTTCTCCTTTCTCAATTCTGCATGAACAATCCTCTGTCTGCTCTCTTGGAAAGCTCAGCCACACGCCTTCTCTCGCGGCACCTGGAACTGGCACTGACGCGATAAGCAGGCCAGGACCGGCTCCGCCCCACCGGCAGCCGGTTCCACCCAAAACCCAAGTGCCAGGCAGTCCTCGGCGCCTCCCTGTGCTAAGAACTACATGTCCCGCCATCCCTCGCGCGCACTCGCCCTCCTTTCCCGCGTTGATTGTGGGTAGGATCAGAGTGTCTCCCATTGGTCTGTCCTTTCTGTCAGTCACCTGGGACTATAGAGAGGCGGGGCAGAGCTGAAGATCCGGATCCGGAGCGGCTGAAAGGCGGAAGTGGAGGCCGGAGCCTGGGACACCGCCGGGGCGGGGGGAGAGGAGCGGAGCCTGTGGGAGCCCTGGCCCAAGTAACGCTGCTGCCCCGGAGCCGCGGTGAGTGTGCCTGTCCCAGGGCCAGTGTCTCACCTGTGTAGAAGCCTCCCTGGGGTACCCTTTCCTCCTGCCCAACCTTAGCTTAGGGGGACACTGACCCCTCCCCCGACCCGTAGCCCCCTCTCAGGGGCTCACCAGGGCGTCGGGCCAAAGGGGGAGCTCCTCTTTCCTTCGCTAACCTGTCTTTCGGGAGCCTTTGGGAGTCTTTTGAGGCTCTCCTCTGGCCTGTCCAGTCTACTTGTGGGAGAGAGGGACTCTAAGTTCCGCTCCCCACCCCCTCAGCTTTCAGAATCAAAGAGTCTTTACCAGGTGTGAAGGAACCTGTCTCTCTTTTCTTTTAGGGGTGGCGGAGAGTGCTGTCTCTCCTGGTTTTCCTTTCCTGTGTTCCACCTCCCCCCCCCCCCCGCCCCGTCCCTAAATCCCAACCAAAAAAACCAGTTGTCCCCTGCAGCCCTGAAAGAATTTTGATCTCGATTTCCTTTAGGATATGCGGGGATGGGGGTGTCTGAATGAGAATGTTCTCCACGTATAGAAGTGTGCTTGTGTTCCTACAGTTCCTTACTTCCTCTCAAGCCTACCAGGACCTCAGCAGAGTTTGAATTCTGGGTCACTTAGAAAGGAATCGGCAGCCTTCTCCTTGTGCTGTAGTTATGCCCCCAGCCCTGTCTTAAGTTCTCTCAGTGTGTGTCCGTCTTCCTGCCTCTAAAGAATTTAGCTGAGCTTTGCTCAATCCTAGCGACAGATCAGGGAGGATCTGCCCATTCATTATCTCCTGTCTCCCCTCCTCCTTCCCCCTACTTCAGGCTCAGCCCTGTCCTTCCAGAACATGTGAGTGGTTTTCTTAGAGGGACTGCTGTCTGCTTATCTATAGGGAGGAGACTAGACCAAATGTGAGTAGTGTGAAATTGAGGGACCATCTCTTAACCACCCTGAATCACACAACATTATGCACTTGAGCAACAGGTCCATTCCTCACTAGAGTCTCCACTCCCCTCTTGGCTTGGACTTTATTACAGAGCAGTTACTCTACATCACAGTGGCAGGCATAGTTTTCGTCGATAAAGGAATTGCATATATGTGCCAGAAAGTGCAGGTTCCCCTACAGTATTGACACAGGATCCTTGTGTTTTCCTTGGGGCTTAAGTGTGTGAAATGACTGGTTTCACTGACCAAGCTGGAAGGTTCTCTTGTTATGTGGCCAAAGTACAGGTCAGAGGCTGCCTTCCTGAGGAGTATCCTGATTCTGAGGCCACAGCTGGCCCTTGCTGTCCTGCAGTGGAGGAAGAGTGGGAAGGCCATTCAGTCCTTGGGCATTTCCGATCACCTTAAGATGCTTCTTACTACACAGAAGCTAAACATTTTGCTTTGAGATCTTTCTGATCTATTTCTGGACAGTTGCTAGTGTCCAATCAGAATAACATTTTAAGCTAATTCTGTGATGCATTTATTTTACTACTGATTGGATAACTACAAACCACTTCCTTATTAGTGTCAACAGGTAGATGAGACACATATTCATTCTCTCTCTCTCTCTCTCTCTCTCTCTCTCTCTCTCTCTGTGTGTGTGTGTGTGTGTGTGTGTGTGTGCGTGCGTGCGCTCAGAGACTCCCTCAGCTAGCCTAGTTTCTCTGATCTGTTCAACATGTGCCTCTGAGGGAGAGGGCCAGTGAACCCTGCCTGCTTACAGGGATTGATTTCTGCTAGACTTTCCTTCCAGGGAGTGGATTCTGATTCCTGGGGTCCTGGCTGAGTCAATCAAACCTTCTAATGGGTGTTTCTGGCAATTGTCTGGATATCTTTTTCCCAACTCTGACTCTAAAATACCGTTTTGTGGAGAGAAACTCTGCCAGACAGGAGGCACTAGAGTTCTGCATGATTCTGCAGCCATTTTTGGCTTTCAGAAATTGTAGAGGCCCAGCAGAAGGCTGTTACAGCTCTGCCGGGATAGGGAGGGCACTCATGAGAGGAAGTCCCTCCTCTCTAAGGCTGCTCTTCACCTCCTCTCTTCTCATACCTCATTGGCCTTTCTGTCTGTTTACTCCAGGAAGAATGTAAGAGCTAGTGTTTCTAAGATATAAAGCCCCTGAGTTCTTCCCATGCATATTCCTCACAGGTGTCCTGGAGATGGTGGTATTTGTATCCCTACCTTAGAGATGATTCTTCCCTAAGACCATACAGTTAGAAGTGGTCAAACCCAGTGTTTGGAGCCTGGGTTCAAATGTGACCTTATCTTTTCTAAAAGCAGGCAGGCTCCTCTTCTAGTCTGCTGTACTTGTTAAGTGAAGGAGCCTGCAGGAAGAGTGCAGAGGATGTGAGTACAGACTCTGAGCCTTCCATCTCTAGCATTTGCTTTTGCTTCCCTCTTTCTTTGCTGTGGACTCCATGACAGTTAAGAATCCCAAGCCTGTACCCTTCAGGGCTTAAGAGTTTGCTAATGTCTGTGTGCCAATTTCTCCAGAACTTAACTCATGATGGCTAGAAAACGAAAGTAAAAGTGACAGCCGGAGAGGCCCCCTGGGCAGGGTGAAAGGCTGTGCCTTCTGATTTCTCTTTGATACTATCTGCTGATTTTGAGACATGGTCTTACTGTGTAGCCCTGGCTGGCCTGGAACTGCCTTTGTGAACCAGGCTGCTCTGGAATTCGGAGAGATATGTCCACTTGTCTTTGCCTCCCAGGCACTAGGATTAATGATGCCCATCACCATGCTCAGCTTCAAACTCACAAATTCAAACAGAGCTCCACTAACCAAGCATTCCTTAAAAAGAACCTACATGTAGTCATTTATTTTCTGTCTGGGTGTGTGTATACGCACATGCCACTGTACACATGTAGAAGAGAGAACACAATTTGAAAGTCAGTTCTCTACTTCTACCAGGTGGGGCCTGGGATAGAACTCAGGTCTTCAGACTTGGTAGCAAGTACTTTCACTTGCTGAGTCATCTCACCAGCCCAGAAAGAACCTTTTTAATGGACTGAGGATATAGCTCAGTTGGTGAGAGCTTGCTTAACATGCATGAGTCTCATCTCTCTGCACTGTATAAACCAGGTGTGTAGGCACATCTGTGGTCTAGCACCTTGGAGATAGAGGCCAGAGGATCAGAATTCAGAGTGATCCTTGGCTTCATAGAATGTTGGAGGCCGCCGGGCGGTGGTGGCACACGCCTTTAATCCCAGCACTTGGGAGGCAGAGGTAGGCAGATTTCTGAGTTCGAGGCCAGCCTGGTCTACAGAGTGAGTTCCAGGACAGCCAGGGCTACACAGAGAAACCCTGTCTCGAAAAACCAAAAAAAAGGAAAGTTGGAGGCCAGCCTGGATTTACAGGAGACTGATTCTTTTTGTAGCCATTGCTCAGCAATCAGAAGGACAGTGTAGGTAGAAGGCATTAGAAGCTTAGACTCAGAGACTTCAATTCCCATCCTCAGTTCCTTGCTTACCATTAGGGTGACTTAGGCTCACTGGACCTGTTTTTTGCATAAAATGGGAATACTACATCTCTTGCAGAGTTAGAAACAAAGGTGAAGGAGCCAGCCCAGTGCCATGGCTAGGATAGATTCTCACCAGTGGCCTCTGCTGGGCAGGTGAGGTTGTGAAGGTTTATTATAATTCATCTCGACAATTCTGATCAATTTTACTGTCAAAATATGCTATACTGGCCAGTGTTTGGATGATTTCCCGTGTTTCTTCATTTCATAGTTCATTTCATGAGCAGAATTGATACAGGTTGTAGTTATTTTTACACAAGGAGTGCTGGGCATGGTGGTGCTCAGAGCTTTAATCCTAGCACTTGGGAGGCAGAGGCAGGAGGATCTCAGTGAGTTCAAGGCCAGCCTGGGCCATAGTGGGACCATGGTATGTGTGTGAGAGAGAGACAGAGACAGGCAGGCAGGCAGACAAACTATAAGAAACTGCTAGGCAGTCCCTATGATTGTCCCATTGGGAGTCATGTTATTTCTTTATTTTTGAGGCAGGTTTTTTTCTACTTAGCTCTGGCTGTCCTGGAGCTCAATATGTAGACCAGACTGGCCTTGAACTCACAGAGATGCACTTGCCTCCGCCTCCAAGGACAGTACTCAAGGTATACGCTATCATTCCCGGTATTGTACCTTTTTTTTTAATTGAATATTTTTGGGAGATGAGCACAGTGTTACTGATCTGCATGGCCACGTTTGTTTCATGCAGATTTTATAGACTAAGATGTCCCAAAATTTAGGTTATAATGCTTTCAAGACCTTGGCAGAGCCCCGTGGAATCCTAGCAATTTGGGAGACTGAGGCAAGAGAATCCTGAGTTTAAGGTCTGCCTTTGTTGCATAGCACGTTTGAGACTAGCCAGAATAACTTAGTGAGACCCTGTCTCCAGATATAAAACATAGGCTGAGGCTATCTCAAACAAAACAAAGAACCTTGGAATAATCTTTTAAGTCATTCTCTGTATTGAGAGCATGCATATAAAGGATTAGTTTTCAAACTATCACATCTATACACAGGGTTAGTGATACCAGTTAAAGTTCAACTTGTCCTGGTTACCCTGGAACTTTCTCTGTAGACCAGGCTGACTTTGAACTCAAGAGATCTACCTGTCTTTGCCTTCCAAGTGCTGGGATTAAAGGTGGGTGCCACCACACTGTTGAAAGCTTAGCTTACTGAGCTCTGCTGACTTGTACCAGGCATTCTTCTGAGCTCTGAGCTTACTCATTTCATCCCTGCACCACTGGAGGAAGGCCCATGTCACAGTGAGGAACCCTGCAGTGAGCGACAGGACAGGGGCCTGTGCTTATTCCATTATGCAGTATAGCCTCTCCTGCTAGGCTAAGTGTGTACTGTTCCTTTTGTCTAGAATATTTGTGTCTACCTCACCTGCTTGGAAGTGACTTCCCCCATCTTCTTTTGAGACTTGTCTTGCAAGTCACTTTCTTGGTGAAGCTTTTCATTAGCCTGAGGAGATACTGGCTCCTTTCTTTCTCTCTACATGAGCTTGCTTCACAATGCTGGCTCCCTGC